GGGGAGATAGGGCAGAAGCTTTTACTGCATGCTGATTTTTTTTCCACCTTGCAATCATGAAATGCATGTGATTTGGCTAGTTGCATGATTTGAATGATACGCTTGTTCATAAAGCTTAAGCTGTCATCCTTTACTGCTTGCCCATTGACCAGGTTTTGAGGAAGAGAAGAATTGGTAGACTTCTTTCTGTTTTCACAGAACATGAGGTTGATTATATTTTAGATGTCGCTTTGGTTGTTGCATGTCGTACCTTTGTTAGAGAGTGCCCACATTTAAAAAAAATTTCTTTCGGGAACTCATGGTGGACATTTGGTTGTAAGTCTGGAAATCTGTTTTGGCCATTTCTGGAGGCCAAATTTAGTGGCCACTTCTGGTGCTGCTTGTCCCAAGTGGCCACTGAGTAGTTTGCATAGTATAGCTTTAGAGTGGGGCTATGACTGGAGGTCTTTTGTATCCCTAAGGCCACTTCAGAGGCCATACCAGATAAGTGGCCATTTTTCTCAAGGCCATCATGCACATTAAGATGCATATCTGTGCCAAGCAGGTATCCATATACTAACCAGTGAGCAGCAGATAGTAATGTGCAATACATTTCCAGGTATGGAGACCAACCATCCCAGTAGCTGACAGTTTCCAGATTTCTGCGAAGAATACTGGCTTGTAAAAAGGTTACCAAATGTAGCGCACATCACAAGATACCACTGTTGAAGCAATCCCCTTGGGGAATTGGTCACTTTTCTTTCCCTCCAAATTTGATATCCACAAGCGCACCCCACAGTAGGTAGCTAGTAGCCAGTTGCTCAGACGCCCACGTTTTCAGTCGCCATTTCCCTCAGCCTTTCATCAGGCGAAGCGTGTTCAAATATCCCCTCTTCTATTTATGTTTGGAAGTCTGGAGTCACCTCTCTGTATCCCCCAAACCAAGCACGTGTCCTTATCTGCGAGCATACCTACCTGTTTGGCCCCCTGCTACATGTTCATCACCTCCAACTGTATTACCTCGGCCAGCTGATGTTAAACGTAACAATGCAGTGAGTTTTTGTCCACTTAACACGGCTCCATCGCCTCATCTGCAACAGAATTGCTGTGCGTTTGAAAAACTACATTTGTTTCTCACTGAGTTCCAGCAATCTCAGATGCGTGTGTGCAGCAGCTTTTGCTGTAGTTTACAGCGAAGTTCTGGCTGTTGATAGATCATCCCAGCCTACTCCGCCCTGCCCCACCCCCTCCCCTGCTCCTCCCCTCCCGTTCTCAAAGCTTAATACCGCCGTGACTCTCACGGGACGGTTGCTGTGCGTTGGATGCTGCTGTGACTGCACAATTGCCATGGCAACTTTGCTGAACTGCTCTCAATAACCGACCTTAGAATTGCCGTGATTCATGTACCCCTCCATGCATTGATGTCTTATAAAAAAAAAAAAGAAATACACTGCTTTTTGTGACACTGTGCTCCCTTCATTGCAAGACTTGAAAATCATTGTTGAACGTGTCCCTTGAAGAGCGCATGCGATCCGGTCTGCTCCAGACTTAAGTCAAGCCTTTCCAATAGTTACAGAGTCTTTCCTTGCCGATTCCCAGTCCTGCAGGGATGAAAAAGTGATGTTCTCTTGGAGGTTTTTTTTTTATCTGATGGAAATAGGAACAGTAATAAGAAAATTTGTTCACCTGTCAATGGGATAGTCCTCCTGAGGCAACCCCTCTCCCCACAGTACGGCCAACGAGCATTTGACTGATTTTGGTCCTGAAATGGGCCTCAAATCAGTGCCTCTGTTCAGCAAATCAGTGCTCAACTTTTCTGCTGTAAGCCATCATTCGGTTCCACGGAGCCACCCCAGTAACCAACAGGTTCACCTTTGGCCTACAGTACAGTACTTTACTCCGTACAGAGTACTACTCATGTTACAAAATGTATTATCGCTTTGGAACAGCGTTTGGCAATCCTTTGAATTCGGCATTATACACGTAGAACATCATTTTGCCCTTTAAGCGCAACTTTATTCCTGCCCCAAATTTATGTTAAACGCAGTCATCCCATGAGCTTGCTTTTCCACACCTCAGAGAGAAGTTCTCGGAAGCTACTTTGAACAAAAAGTCATTTACCAAAGTCCATGTACATCTTGCTTCTCGTCATGCAACGTCTTGTTGAAGTCCTCCATAAACGTCATTGGGTAGTCGCAGCTAACTTTCACATACACGGGATGCCCTGACCCTCTTTTGTTCCTGACTTCCTCACGTTATTTTGAGTTCAAAAACTCTGCCAGTTTAAGGCAAAGCCATTTTTGGCCACTCCAAAGCTGTTTGACAGAAGAAAAGTCCACACAGTCCTTGACAGTCATCCATTTTGACAGCACCCTGTTAACATACATGGACACATACACGCAGTACCTACCAAAATGACAGCCATATAAAAATATGCACTAATCCTCGTTTTTTTTTTCATTTCATGAACCCTCCTTTTGGTGTAACTGTCAAAAACAATCAAAAATTCCTCCTTTTGTTGTAACCGTCAAAAACAGTCAAAATTCCTCCTTTTGTTGTAACTGTCAAAAACAGTCAAAATTCCTCCTTTTGTTGTAACCGTCAAAAACAGTAAAAAATTTCTACTTTTGTTGTAACCGTCAAAAACAGTAAAAAATTCCTCCTTTTGTTCTAACCGTCAAAAACAATCAAAAATTCCTCCTTTAGTTGTAACCGTCAAAAACAATCAAAAATTCCTCCTTTTGTTCTAACCGTCAAAAACAATCAAAAATTCCTTCCACTTGATTCCCCCTAGTACACAGACACAAATGGGAAATTTGACTGGTTTTTGACTGATAGGACAACTGGTTCAGGAATGTATCTTTGCATAGGAGGGTTAACAGCAGTAAGTTTTCACTGCCGCACTCACCTCTCCTGTTAACAATTTGCACCCCCATTAACAGCACTGACCTTTAAGTAACCGAAACTATAAGCTGTATTTCCTATGTACTGTACATATATGCTCAATTTTTGTTTGTTTCTTTTATTTTGATTCCGAGTAGAAAATGGGTCCAGAATAGCCGGTGTAGATTTCCCACACGGTCTTTGTTTTTTAAAGGTTTTTGTAGTTTTTATTGTTGTGGGTTGTTCTTGGTGAATATGTCTTTTTTTTTAAGAAGGGACCGGTTTGTCACTAGTCCTTTTCTAAACGGGAAGCCAATTTCACAAACTCGGCAATTTCTGTCCACAACACCAGAATGCAGCGGCCTCCATTCCATCTCACCTGACTTCGTTCAATTTAGTGTTCGATCATGGCTAGTCAGTTATTTTTTGGTATACAATAAAACAGTCGTCTACATGCATGTGATTGTTTTCCTACATGTCCGTGTCACGGAAAATACTGTCAGGTGTATCGATGTTTATTGCGATTTTAAATTTGGTGTTGTTTTTTTGTCTCTTCAAATTGTAGCCCACAGACCACAAGTTGCTCAGGTCAGTGAAGTGAGGGCGGACCAAGTCAGGAAGGAACAGCCCAAACAGGCAATCAACCAAGGCAGACCCAAGAACCCAGCTGTGAGTTGTTGATGGCAATGGCTCTTTGTGATTTAGAATTATACATTTATAAATGAAGTGAATGTCAACCATGCTAAGTTAAAATTATGAAAAAGAAACCCATGTTACGGACTTTGGTCTTGGCTATATCTGAGACTAAACTTAGGACCCTCCAAATATAGAAATATTATTTTTGATATGCCAGAAATGATTGTGTGTACATTTTGCAAAAACGATTGGGGGAGGGGCTCTTTTGTATATTGTTGGAAAGCCTTCTTTTTTGGTCAGATTTTTTTCTTGTAATTTTTGCTTTCCTTTCCCAAATTCCAAAGACCTATTACATAGATTTTCTTTACTATACTTTTGTATAAGTCTTAATTTTTTTTATTTTTTTGGTAGGACTTGGATGCCCTGGCAGCCCAGCTGAGTGCAATGGGTGGGCAAGGCGAGGGGGGAAGCGAGGGGGGCAGCGTGGACGACGAAGACGAAGATGAGGAGGCGCCGGAGAGCGGTCCTGACGGCACCGTGCTGGCATCTGAACCTCCCGTGCCGCTGTGAGTGACTCGCACACTGAAAGCCTGCCCATTTTTATCATAAAACGGCCTTGCCGGGGCACAGTTGCGCTCTGTAGCTAAGTAGTACCACTGAATTGGCAGTTTTCATGAGCACAATTGTTCGTTTTGTTTTTCTTGTACAGGCCTGAGCAAGGAGAATATGATGCCGATACCTTGGCAACATTTGTAGTCCATGAAGGTAAGACACCTCCACAGCCTGTTTATGAAACGTTTACCATTTTATTTGATAAGATTTCTTCTTTATTTTCTTCCCGGCCTTGAGCAAGGTTCCAAGGAAGAGCAAGGCTATCTTCCATTTGACTTTTATCGCTGAGTGATGATAAACATGAAATGATAATGAATGATGGATTTGAATTTTTTTGCATAGATCCCAATGAGAGTAACATCAGCACCGAGAGTTCGTCAAGCTTTGTGCCCCAACCCTCAGGACCAGGGCGGACACAGGTACCAGACCCTTTGCCATGCCTATCACCTGACTAGAGTCCTAACACAAACCTATGAGGCTTAGAGTCAGTCTCTTTCTCAATTAGCCTGGTGCCAAGATTTCACTATGGCAAATACTGAAGGTGTTCTCCATGGCCCAAACAAGCAGTTGCCAATGGCTGAAGCTCTCTACTGCAGAACATAAATGCCTGAAACCCAATGCTTCAGCCACAAAAACTTGACCTGACCTCGTCAATATTGAAGATATTACATTTAATTTTTTGACTCAGTTGGTTAAAGAGGGTGTAAAACCAAGTTAGCCAAAATCTTAATGAAATGTTATGGTTGCATGCACATCATTATCCTCGCAAAAGACACTAACTATCTGCTCAGTATATTAACAAATACTCATTCCATTTGTATCAAATAGTTGCACCCTAAAACACCCATACTTGGTCCTCTGTGACTCCATATACACTACTCAAAAATGTTAAGGACCACTTTTTATTTTGGGTATATTTTTTTATAAGAGATATTTTACTGCTGAAAATGTGCCTTTGATGTTTTGACACACTTTCTCAATTTTTTATTCCAATGGGAACACCATCTAGACAAACAAAAAAAATGAAAGAGCTAGACCCCTTTCATTGCTTTGAAGAAAATTACAGTTTCAAGGAAAAAGCGGTCCTTAACTTTTTTTGAGTACTGTACTTTTAATTGGATTGCTCGTCCATTATGGGAAGAGCCATTCAAGAGTCTCACTTTCAGCGTAACCTAGCAAAGATCCAATCAGCCCTTGCAAAAATTAACTCAGCATGAGAACCGTCAGTGACAAAATGAAGCATTTTGTACTGTTTACAAAATGGTCAGTGCAGCCTTTCTTGAAAGGACCGATTGGTCTCTTTCCGGCATTTCCAGTGAGTGCTAGCATAGGCTAACTGGGCACAAGTTAGCCTATTCTAAGGCAAGGCCAAAGCCAAGAATCTCAATCTGTTTGTAAAGCTTGCCAGTGCAGTGCAGCCCCCTTTCCCACCCAACTTTGAGTAGGTAAGGGGCCCTGCCAGTGCGGCCTCTTTTTCAACCTGACCATGCAAATGGCCTTGCAAGTGCAGCCTCTCTTTCAGCTCGACTGTGCAATGGGCCTTGCAAATGCAGCCTCTTTCAGCCCAATTGTGCAAAGGGCCCTGCTAGTGCAGCCTCTCTTTCAGTTGTTCCCTTCCAATCACTAGTGTTAAACCTTAAGCAAACACAAAAACGTAGAACAGGGAAAGGCCCAACGAAGGGTCTCAATCTCTTCACTGCGACGGCGTCCTCTTTCCTTCCAGGTCGACGTGGGTCCGACGAGACAAGGGGCTCCCCCTGGCAGCAGCCAGGCAGGGGGTAGCGGGCTAGGGAGACCCCACTCAGGCTCCCCAGCCAACCAGAGAAAATCCTCCAAGACGGAGAGCCCTAACCAACCGAGAAGGGTAAGACCAGAACCTGAGTGGACATTGCCAAGGTCACACGGGCATCACATCCCATGGGGACTCATTTACATTTCTGTGTCTTCTGTACCTGAACCAAAAGAGGGCATTTTGTAGCCTACTCCCAGTGATGGGTACAAATGTAGTTAGTACTCAAGCCGCACCAGAATTGCTTGGCTGTGGCTTGCAGTGACACAAATGCCTCCGGGAGCCACAGGCTTGAAGCCACAGCCATTTCTCATGTGTTACGTGCTTGCCACAGCCAAACTAATTCAGACATGGCCCATCTTCCACTGATCCCCGTGCAGAATGATTCCCCCCGCTGCATTTGGGAAATAGTGTCTACCAGGGAAGGAAGATTTTAGACATGTTCCTAGTCACCCCATTTTTCTCATCTTCAACACTGAGGGTGCCTTCACGGACTCCATAATTCAGGATTGAGGTGTCGGCCATTGGCTTCCATGGATGTACTCATGTAGAAGTAATTTCAGACTTGGCATTGCTACCATGTAATTTAGTACCACTCTTGACATGTCACGTCCAATGCCATGTAACATCACCCTGCTTTTGTCTCAGTCATCTAACGGAGCTTCTGATTGGCTCATGCGCTTTTGCACTTGGCAATGCCTCACTCCACTGCTCATCAGGTAGAAAAAACCCTAGCAACATATGTCTTCTCAAACGATCTCTCTAGCTACCCTTTCTGCACCAGCTTCAAATTCACTGAGCTCTTTTTCCGCCTTGGGCATACAGCGAGATCTCATTTATCCCCAAATTGTCTGGTCCCTCTCGTCGACCAATCAGATTTCGGATGGCCAGTCGCGGCCCAGCAACCTGGAGGTTGGCAGCGACGTCCTTCCGGATCTCCTCATGCAGCAGCAGAGCCCCATCGGCGCGGGCAAGGCCCAGGCTCCACAGGACAAGGCGTCCTCGGACGAGGTGAGTTTTGATTCCCGCATTCTCAGATCAAGGCCCTTAATCTTGGCATCACGTTAAGTGTTTTGGTCCAGTCCGTCCCTAGTCCTCACAAGTGGACACACACGTCCTATGACAAGAAACCTGGGATTAGTGTTCGTCACAATCCATTTGAACAACTTGTGACTTTATTTTGGACAGGATGACTTGTAAGAGACATGTGGGGACTTGTGAATGGACTTGTGACGACATTTAATGAAGTTACGAAAACCTGATAACCCATGGTTTCCTGGTGTGTCTCCGAGTCCCAAGTTCCAAAAAGAAATCCAGAGAAAGGAGATGCTCCAAATTTGAATGTAATGCCCCTTTGCTGTCAAGCCTGCCATTTCCCATTGATAACCCTTGAGACAGCTAATTGAGAGAATGGAAAAATGTCCCAGCAAACCCTTTCAAAGAGAAAGAAGTCCTTTTCTAATATTCCTAATTTCTGCAAGCTCCCCACAACCTCGTCTCTCCAGGCATCTCGAGTTAAACAAAGTACATGTACTGTTACCCCTTCCACCAACGCAAACCCAATTTATCCGCTCCGAGCGGAACAAGAGAGGGCATGTTTTTTTTTGGTACTCATCGCATAGGCGCGCCATGAGGCACCCAAGTACATGCGCATTTGATGCGGAGCAGGCTGAGTACGCGTAACTAATTTATTCCGGCTTGTATGGTCTTTGTGTGCACGCAGAACGCGTGCAAGAACCCGCTTGTAACCACCTGTCTTTCTTTCGCCGATTGGGGGTGCACTTCAGCTTGGGGCGGATAGCTCTAGCTAGCCAGATAGAACTCAAAACCAAGGTTTTACAGGTTCCTCTAGTCAGTACAGAAGTCACGAGGTTTACAGCCAGTCTGTAAATTGTATTAGGGAACCAGACTAACTCCTTATGTAAAATCAGGTTTCTGTGGATACGGCTTAGGACTTTCTGCTGTTGCCTCACTAAAGTGAATAGTTACAGCTGCAAACAGTAATGCCCATTTTGGATATGGCTTTAATAGCCGTATGTAACAATATAGTCGAGTCTAGAAACCTTGTCTTCATTGTTGGACTAGCAATGGCATGTTTTTACCACATCTTTAACAGTCTTACTTTTCAAGTGGCTATGTATATATACATTGTACATGTGTATATGTGTGTAGGTTGAAGGGGGCGATGACGACGTGTTCACTGAGCATGCCCAGATGGGCACCAGTGATTCGTCAAAACATCCTAGCTCAATTCACGCCCAGGTATGACTCCAGAATTTTCTCCCGCATTGATATAACTTACTCCTTCCCAAAATTGCATCCTTTTTTTTTTACTGACCCAGAAAGATGTTTCAGTTTTTAACCCAGAGCATGTCAGTCTATACACAAGAGAGTGTAGATGGTGTGGATTTCCCCACCACTCCCTAGATGATTTATTTACAACCATTGTTTGCCCGAACTACATGATATTTCGTTTCGCAGCATGTACATCTGTTATACGTTGATATTGGTTAACTAATGCCATTATGCATGTATTTAAATTAAATTTTAAAAAAATCCAGAATCAACTTTTTGTTCTTTTAGTAACCATTTTTACTTTTTAGTTACAGTTGGAAACCAGCTTCATATTTTACTTTCCAGCTGTTTTTTTTCCAACGACAGGTTTCTTTGGCTTCATATATTACATTTAAAGATTAATGATTATTTTAGCAATTTTTACGCTTTCAAACTGTTACTATCCTCTGCAGGATTCCGTGCAAATAATCCTGATTTTGGAAAATACATGTACAATGTACCTTCAAGGAATGTCCAATCAAATGTACGGATGTACCTGTCACATAGAGGGTGTACCTTACATGTACATCACATGCCTTATTTTTACATGAGTGTAAAACGCTGTGTCTGGCAATATTTGGATAGTGTGTGTCCGTTATATATATGCAAACAGCAATGCATCGCTAACTATGACAGTCAAAGTACACTCTGAATGAAGACATGATTGAAGTTTTTCTGTGGTGTATCATTACAGAGAATGATCAATTTTCTGGCAACTCCTGTTGCATCTTAACAAATATTGAAATGGCATTGCATTTAAATTCATGCCAGTTTTGATTTATAAATTGTATGGGATGCAGGGCTGCTTTATTTGAGCTGAAGTTGTGCTTAAGCTGTTTTGTTTTTTTTGATAAATGCTTCTTTTTCCAGCCAAGATTTAACTCCACAAAACTGCATCGCTGTATGTGGCTGTTGAGCGCCATTTGTTTGCTTTGTGCTGACAAAGCAGCACTGTAGAATGTAGAGAAGAACTTAATCAGCTGAGTTGAGACCCTTGGCCTTACAAGAGCCAACTTTGTCAAGCAGCTTGGAAATTGTTGAGCATAGAAAATGTTTGCTTTGCAAAAGCGGGTTACCGGCCAAAATGATTATGTGAAATGTGTTGCTTGTGACCAGTTCCCCGCTCATTTTTTGCTTACCACAGAAATCTGCTTAGCATTTTCTCATGTTCAACATCTCAGTGGAAGGGTCTGGAGGCCTGGAAATTATTTGGGCTCAGCGTGCTTCTCGCATGCTGTCGATGCAAGACTAGTTTTGTGGAGCAAGTGTTGAAAAGATTGCTTGGATAATTTATGTGCCAAGCAGAACTCAGCCGGGAGCCAGTTACTGGCAGTTGGCTTTTATTCTGGAGTTGGCCTCCTTGAATTAAAAGTGAGGCAGTCCCTGCTGTAGTTTCTTGAAGCTTAATTTTGGGAATGAGGATGATGCTGTTTTTTAAAAGGCAAAGTACAGATAAGTAAAAAATATTCATAGTGAGGCTATAAGAAGTGAAAAATATTCAAAGTGAGGCTGTGCTTGCAATTGTTGCGAAATAGTCAGGCTCCTTCCAATTTTCCGAGTGTCCAGTGAATCAAGTGGACTTTGGGAACACAATCTAAAATGGCCATCTTGTGAATAAAGCCTACATCACACGGTACATGATGTCCCTGTGTGGCCTCTTTCTTTGAGTAGCAGCTTCAAGAAACAGGCCCACACTCAGCATTTGAATAAAACTGTTTCATTTATTAACAAGAAATTTGTGTATGCTTCGCTGCTTTATGTTGGCCTTAGGTTTTGTTTCAAGTTTTACCCGAGAATCCCAGAGTGGGATGTTCTCAAACATTCCCATTTGTACCTGAGTTTTTGATGTTCAGAAACCATCATCCTAAGCAGTAGAAAGTATTGAGCTAAACATTTTAAGTTTCTGGTGTGAAAATGCAATATTCTCAATTTTTGTTTACCGCTCCGTCACCCCCCCCCCAGTACCGTCTGGCAATCAGCAATAACCCCAAGGGGCCCATGGCCAACGTCAAATCGCCCATGCGCAAGCAGACCTCCTTCTCGGCCTTCGGCTTCGGGGCCAGCCCGACCAACCCCAACCCGCCGGGCTTTGCGCCCATGCGGCGGGGCTCCAACATCTCGGTCAACGTCAAGCCCACCACGCCCGACAGCCTGAACGACATGCCTGAGATCCGCAAGTACCGCAAGAAGTTCAACTCGGAGATCCTGTGCGCGTCGCTGTGGGGTAAGGCTTCCCCTTTGAAGCCTCCCTATGGTAGGCTTGAAAACGATCTGTCCGAGATGAGAATCTCTCCCCGGACTGAACAGTGACCCCTTCAAAAAATTTTGGCGAGCCAGTTTTCTGCAGCAAATGTTTGCAGAATGGTCCACATCATTGACAACATCATTATGCTGGAGTTGCAACAAATTTTACCTAAAATTTAGTTCGCCCAGGTCTTTGAGAATCTATCACAGATTTGTTTTTCTGGGGTTTTGCACAACATTCTTCTAAGTTGTCGTGTTATATTGATGAACCTTCTTTTGTAAAGTAGCATATAGCCGATGTATTGATTTAATTGATTAATCTGTGTTCCCCCGGACAGGTGTGAATCTGCTGATAGGCACAGATAGTGGCCTGACGTTACTGGACAGGTCTGGCGAAGGGAAGGTCTATCCGCTGATATCGCGCAAGCGATTTGAGCAGATGGACGTCCTGGAGAGCCAAAACATACTCGTCTGTATATCGGGTAAGGGGAGATTAGTTACCAGACTCACTTTGGCAGTAGGCTGCGCTGCCTTTGTTCGGGGGCTGTTCAGTTGATAGATACATTTTCTGGAATGGATGCCATTAGGTTATAAAATCCACCAAGTCTTGAAGGATACGTAGGTTTTGAAGTGTTGTTCTTGCTGTCCTCATTTACGTGTTCTCAGCCATTTCAAGTGCTGGTCTCCAAAGATGTGGTGGATCTGTATATTTAATGAAAGCCTACCCTTGCTGATTTGCATATCATGCAGAAAAACTCGGCTTAGTTTTGTGGACAGGGTAGTCATTTGCTCTTTGTTTTTCTGTTTATTTTCAATTGAATTTGTACAATGAATTCTTTTTTTAGGGAAGAAAGCAAAGCTACGAACATACTTCTTGTCGTGGCTGAAACAGAAGATCGTGAAGAACGACGACAACAGCCACATCCAGTCGGTGAGTGTAGAAATCTCGAATGGAGAACCAGTTTTCTGGTCTAGATGGTCTTAGATTATATTGGGGACCGAGCACCTCCCTGCTGTGCAACAGTTGTTTCAAAAGACAGGATTGAGGACGGTGGAGCCCGGCTGTTCTTCCTAAGAGCAACGAATGTGCTGTTTTGTTGTCGTACAATCAGGGAGAATTTGGGACGATGGAGGGAAGTTATTGGTAAAAATGTTTTAGGGAGTTGGACTCAGAGGACGCTTGGTCTTGTTCATTACACCATGTAGCAAACCATGGACAAGCGCAAGGTCGGGTTCGTCTCAGTCGGGGACCTGGAGGGCTGCATTCACTACAAGGTGGTCAAGTATGAGAAGATAAAGTTCCTGGTCATCGCTTTGAAGGACAGTATCGAGATCTACGCCTGGGCACCCAAGCCCTATCACAAATTCATGGCATTCAAGGTACGGCCAGCTCAAGAAAACAGGCGTTGTTTACTGCTGCGTTCATGCTTCAAATGATGTAGTGTACTGAATTATCTGCCATAATTTGTGTCATAGGTTAACCAGAATGAGACACAGTATTTCAGTTCAAAATTGCCAACTGTTGAAAAGTGCAGAAAACTTGGATTAAGAATGCTAGCATGTTCAGGTTCATATTTCATATAAAGTTTACATTCCTAAATATTGGACTGCGTTAATAAATCCCTAAAACTCTTAAGAAGAGCCATTTACGCCTTATTCTAGATGAAGTTAATTGCGTCCTTGAGGTTTTCATTTGTCTTGTACCCTGTCTCCCCTCTCCCCACACAGACATTTTCCAGCCTGACCCACCGGCCTCAGATTGTTGACCTGACTGTGGAGGACAACCAGAGGTTAAAGGTCATCTATGGGTCATCTGCTGGTTTCCACGCCATCGACCTGGACTCAGGTTCAGTGCAGGACATCCACATCCCGTCGTTAGTAAGTAGTGTCTTTCCTGAAATGCTGGCGCCCTCTGTAGACTATTTGCAAGAGTAAAATAGAAAGCTGTTTGCATAAAATTCAGACTTTGCCTAAGACATTTACGCAAAAAGTATTCCCAAGGTGTCAATTTTTATTCAAAAATCCTTGCTTCACAAATTTTATTTTTGTAAGAGGTGCCGAATTTGTCATGAAATGGAATTCTCCCTCAGAAGCGGCATCACCTGAATCTCAACTTGAAATCTCATAATGCTGTTGTCACATCCATTGACCAGGGATCTGTTTGCCCCTTCCCTAACCCCAGGATATGGGAAGCATCGTCCCCCACTGTATAGTCATCTTGCCCAACAGTCAAGGAAAGAACTTGTTGCTGTGTTACAACAGTAAGTCGCTTTCATTGACCATTTGAACTTTTTTATTTTGTCGTTTTGTTATTCAAACAGACATTTCTTGAGCAGGTCTGCACTACTTCCCACCAAAAAGCATGAGTTGGCCCATGATTTCTGCCCTGCTGTACCAACCTGAGGAACAGGTTTTTCAAAGGAGGCTGTTTTAAATTCAATCATTTGAAGCCATAGTAAACGCTTTGCCAGTCCTCATCAAGCTTTTAGTGAATAAACAGCGGGATGGATCTTATTCCTCATTTTGATGGAGGAAGTCTTTTGGGCTTGTGTCCACACGCAGATCTAGAGCACTTTCCTTGTATCTGATTTGATCTAAGCTTTAATTGTCTGTTTGATGGCTCACAGACGAAGGGGTATTCGTAGATACCAACGGGGCTCCGTTCAAAGACGTCACTCTACAGTGGGGAGAGCTGCCTACGTCCGTGGGTAAGTTGGTACAAGTCTAACGCTGTTTATTCCCTGTCTCTCGCTATCAGACCCAGGTGTGGCAGCCCTTTGCTACAGATTTCTGTGCAACCACAGAACAGTTTGGTATCAACTTCTTGTTTTCAGGGTTTTGTTTTCAGTGTTGAGAGATGAATTCTGTGCTGTTATGCATTGTCGTAGAAGTATGCATGCTGAGTGTATACAGTCAATCACAAAGATTGGGCGTTGTACATTTGATAATTGTGTTAAACCTTGCCAGGGGTGTGGTCTCTCTAGACTCTTCCCGTTGTCGGGACTTTTGCCTCCAAATTCTGGATTTGTAAAGGTTTATTCGTCCAGGTTACTGCTCCTTCTTTGCGCTCTGTCCAAAAAAAACAACCCAAGTTCAAGATGCACAGAGTTTATTGCCACTGGGGAGAATCCTCGCGCCCTGTTAGCCATACAACACCTCTGAAAGGTCACGGTATTCCATTGTCGTCACATCTCCTGTGCTAGACGTCTTGCGGGTTTGTATCTCACATCCAATCACAAGTCTGTTCTGGGGTTTTCCACCCACTCTTCTTGCAGCTTACATCAGTACGGGCCAGATTATGGGCTGGGGCAACAAGGCCATCGAGATCCGCTCGGCCGAGACCGGCCACTTGGACGGGGTTTTCATGCACAAGCGCAGCCAACAGCTGCGGTTCCTGTGCGAACGCAACGACAAGGTACGGGTGTCTGCTCCGACAGGGAGAATTTGGCATTCTGCTGTGTAAATGGCCACCCAATTGATTTCTGAATTTCTAAGGCCCCATGTGCGAGCGACCGTGTTGCCCAAAGTTTTCTTTGTTTAAAAAGAAATTGACTCTGAAGCTTCACCTGAAAGTCTCATGTTGTACATTGTAATATTTCCCACTTGCATGACCAAGATGGACGCCATCCAAAGACCCCTTTTCTAATTGCTGGCCCTGTTCAACACCAAATACCTTTGAATGTGCGTTGATGCAAGGCAGAGATATTTTGGGAAAAACTCGAGCACCACAGCGGCCCATTTCATGCAAATATTCACGAGAGAGATTTAAGACTCAGAACTCACTCCCTTGAATTTTCCACAATTTCTTTATTTTGACAGGTGTTCTTTGCCTCAATTCGGCCCTCCAATTCTCAAGTGTACTTTCTGACACTGCGAGCTGGTCTCGGCAACTGGTAGTAGTAGCCACCCCCCCTTCTCTGTAAACAAGCCCCACCCACTCACTTCCTCTGGTCGTATTATAGAGAACGTACATGTACATGTAGTTGTGTTTGCACAGGTGTGGGTGTGTGTGAGTATGCTAACCTTTACATGCCCAGTGTAGACTGGTGAACAATATGTGTCCACACAATGCAGGAAGGGAAGACGTTCTGTGGACTGAGCCACGTCCGCAGGACGTTTTTCCTTCTCTGGAAAAGAAGCTTAGAGGCATTTGGGGGTTAGGGTTATCTGTCGTAAAAGGAAGAGCAACAGTCAGGGAAACATTTCTTAAAAATCCAGCTGCAAATCGTGTTCACAGTTCAAGAAAACTTAGTATTTTCCACGAGTTTTCTGAGCTGCACGAAAGCAAAGGACTGTCCACACTAGGTATGGAAGGTAAAAATGTGTTGGTGCGTGTGTGTGTTGTATGCTGGAGCTGAGGTTGGTCATCA